AATCTGCCGAAAACTGAGATTGAAAATAAAAATAAGAAGAAAAATAAAAAACCTAAAACTAAAAAGCTAGGAAAGAAAAATACAACTACCGGAGGCCAGCCGTCGATGCTGGCGGCCGACAATACGGACGACTAAAACAAGACTAAAAACCGAGAACCTAAAAATAAAAGGGTGAAGAGGAGAAGAAGAGAAGGAAAAAAAACTAGGGAAGACGAGAAAAAATAAAAAAAAATAAAAAAAAAAAAGAGAAAGAAGGAGGAGCATTTTTTATTTTTATTTTTTGCATGGATGACTCAGACACTTGACTTGGTGTTAAGTAGATTTTTTAGCCGAGTTCGGATGTCTTCTTCTCGAATGAATATGATTCAGATCTTTGTCTACGATCTAGTTGTCGAAAGCAAAAATTGAGAAAATAAAATCCTAGATATTCTAAACGATTGATTTGGGGGATTTTTAAACTAATTTAAACTAAGAAATTGAAAAGCGATTAACTAACGATGCAAGATTTAATAAAAAACCTAAACTTTAACTAAAATGAGTGTTTGAAACCCCATAAAGAGCTAAAATAAAGACAAACTGCTCCTACTGATGCACTTAGAAGCTAAAGTTGAACGATTAATTACGAAATAACCAAGATTTAAAACGAAGTTTTGATTTTTCTATTAAAAGTTTCAAACTTTAAACTAACAAATACACTAGAAGAGTAAAATAAAAGACATGCTAGCAATTTAAACTAAAATCGACCCTAACACCCGAATTCAGAACATGACATTAATTTTACCTCTAAAACCAAGTAAGTAAAAATAGCGCAAAAAATGGAGATATGAAGTCCTAAACGAAGTCCTAAACATGACATTAGTGTTTCGCTCCAAGTCTTTTGATCAACCTGACTCTGCCATTTGTTATTTACCTTCCACTAAATTCCACCCAAGTTTATCCAAATATATTAACTATTTTCTACTAACCAATCCCCAACATATACTTTAAATACAAACAATACCATTGCAGATGTTACAACTTACACATCCTCTATATTCAGTATTAATTAAATTTTTTAGATTAATAGTTATATATACCACTAAAATACAGAAAAAAACCTTGTTTTATTTTTTTAGTTTGAAATAAGTATCGTGCATGAATACATAAACACTTCATTTCTAGTCTCTAGATTGCATAATTTGTTGCATTCCTTTATTTCAAGCACAATTGTTAACTCGTAATTAGGTTCAACCTTGGGCGAGTTCTCACATAGTTTCTGTGTGCAAATATATTTGATTGGGGATGAAAAACTGGTTGAAAATCTGTATAATGGCACCTATTTCATTGCAGATTAATGGCATCACCCTACTGATTATAAACATGGACAAGAGTACGACAATCAGTGCAGCAGTTGAGTTTTACGATGAACAATTGCAAGCGTATAAAAAAAGTTACAAAAGAGAAGAATACCACCTGACCCCATTAAACGGGGACGTACAAAGCCAGACCGTTTTGCTTAACAATAAACAACTAACTGTTGGGCGTTCTGGAGACATACCTGCCTTGGAACCTAATTTTGTATTGGCAACAGAGCCCATACAAGTTGAGCCTTATTCCATAGTATTCGTTCGCATGCCGTATGTAAACATACCTGCATGCCGCTGGAAGCACGAATAAGTTAAAGCATGCCCGAAAAGAAAAGAAGATTTCTCCATTTACATTTTTTTTTATACAGATGAATGATATGTAATCTAAACAAACCAAAGCTAACTGAAATAGTAGTAAACAAATCTGCAACTGCAAGTGTTCTCGGTAAAAAAAATATTACAGGACGTGACAACAAGGATCAACACCAATTCAGACTAGTTTTACATACCTCCAGACAAAGGTATATCATTACAAGAAATTTAAATATTAAAAATTCATGGCAATTAAATTCCAGAAAACCTCGAACTGGTTTGTTAGGAATGGGAATTCTCTATTGTTGGTATGTATATTGTTAGTGCGTTTCCGTACCCATGACATCATCAATTGCGCAGGTAAAATAGGTTTTACATTAACTTAAGTTCTTTTTGTTTTTAAAAAAAATGTTATTCTTTTGTTATCGATAAATTTTATGGACGTGTTCTACTTTTGTAATAGAATTCTCAAAAATCTCAAAGTCAGGCTAAATGTAATTTTAAGTCCACTATGTTGGCCATTTTCTAAAAAATGTCCATCATATATGGTGTGATCAATAATGGTCCACTAAGTTGCCACTTTAACCAAAACTCGTATAATATCCAATATAGTGTACTAAAAATGACGATCACTTTTAGTACACTATCTTGGTTTTTGTATAAATTTTGATGAAAGTAGCAATTTAGTGGACCATTCTTGATGATGCCATATATGATGAATCTTTTTTTGAAAAATAGCTAACATAGTGGAACCTTTTTGAAATTTTTCCGTTAAAGTCATTCAAATTAGTGTTGTAGTGCAAATGTGGGTATTGTGGATTTTTTGTACCTCAAAAATTAAATTTGAGTAGTTCAACATTGTAACGCCCTGTTGTTTTAAAAGGAAAAATGTAACGCCCCGTTTCTTTTTAAGAAAATCGTAGCGTTTAAATCGCTCCACTAAGTTTAAAAATCCATACTTATTTCTTGCTCTATGCTTTTATTTTAATGTACTAATTGCTAAGTGTGCTTATATGAATTATTTCTAATTGTATTTTTGTGTGCGTAAGTGTCAATTTGTTTTCTTAAGTGCTTAATTGTTTTCATGTGCTTAAGTGTTTGATTGTACCTAATTTGTCTAAATGTTATTTTTGTGCCTTCTTGCTAAGTGTTGTTTTATTTTTCCGTAAATGTTCTTAAGTGATTATTTGCTTATGTGCCTACGTAATTATTTGATTATGTGCTTGAGTGATCAATTGAATTTGTGAATTAATGGCCTAAGTGTTAAGTTAATTACTTATGTGTTTAGTTGAATTATTTGTCTAATTGTAATTATGTGTTTAATTGAATTATTTATCTAAGTGTCATTTTATTTTTCCTATGTGTTCAATTTATTATTTTTCCTAAGTGGTTAATTTATATTAGCCTAAGTTTTATTTCCTAAAGCCCAAAGAAAGTCAAATCTCCCTAAGGCCCTAAACTTATAAAGCTTCAGCCCAAGTAACCCTCTTACCTTCTAAGCCAATTAGCTTTTCCTTTGCAGCCTGAATTCAGAATGGCTCATCTTCACTAGCCCATCTTCCTCATCGTTAGAGCATGTTTGTTTATAAGAAATTTTCAAAAAATTTCTAATATTTTAACTCAACTATTTTCTTTAACTCAACTCAATTATCATCAAAATTATCAATATAATTAAATATTATCAATCAATCATTCATTCACACCACATCAACCTTAATTCACTATTCATCCACTCACATTATTTTAAGTAACCATCACTTCAGATCTCTCTCTCCTACTTTTACATCAAATTAATTTTAATTATTTTATTAAAAATATTATTTTAATATACCCACTAACAACTAACCATACCACCTTTTTTAAAATTAACCAAACCAAACCAAAAAATTCAAATAAAACCAAAAATTTTTATAAACAAACATGCTCAGCAGCTCGTCTGCTCTCTCAGCCCCAAGACGGGGAAAACCTAGGTCAACGACCTCAATGGAAATCGGTGCCAACTCTCCCAAGCAGCAACCCTATATTTTTCCCTATATAAAACACCCAAAGATTCCAGCCGCCTCTATTGTTTTCTCAGCACCCGTCCAAATTTTCTCGTCATTTTCTTTCCCTGCAACAAGTCATTGCCGGCGAGTTTTCCTTCGCGGGGAGGGCAGTGCCGGCGACTGCGCACTAGTGGCGACCTGAGCCGCCACACCCGACCAAGTGCACCCGCAGCTTCCACATATTCTCCTCTCCGCTTCGCAATTTCGCCCAAATTCCGACGAAAGGACGAACGGAGAGCTCCGACCACCAACCTCCAGTCCGACCGAGCCTCGATCTCTTCGAGCTCAGACCTCCGGCCACCTGTTGAACGCCGCGAGCAGAGAACCACCAGTTTGACATCGATCCGCGACTCGACCTCCGAGCTCTGACCTCTAGGCGTGACGACGAACCCGACTGAGCCACGTCCTATTTCCGGCAAAGAGGCCAGAACTGTTCCGACAGGGTTGCGGCCTTAGCAAGCCACCACGAAGACCGAAGCTCCGTAACGAGAACCTTCTAGTCGCGGCTGAAATCAGATTTCCAGCGAGAGCGTTCAAGGCCGAGCCGGCAAGCGTTGTCCAGCGGCTGAGAGTTGGCCTTACTTTGACTGAGATAAGAGTCTGTTAGCGAGTCAAACTTTTCCTGATTCCAAGAGTCGAGAGCCAAGAGCCTCAGCCGAGGCCCTTTTGAGACCCGAGACCTGAGCTTGTCGTCCTTACCTTTTTCGAAGAGAGGTATTTTCAGCCAACCGAGTTCTCCCCCTTTTATGTCCGTGTTGCTGTTGTTTATGTCGAGCCACAAATATGTTATGGCATCCTTATTGAATTGTTAAGTTTGAGAAAAGAATTAATTGAAATCTGAGTTCCTCAATTGAAATATGAGTTGGACAATTCTACTATCAGGTAAGCTTGTACTTTTGCTTGTACTGACTTAACAATAGGTACCTCTTAAATGAATGCCATGTGTCCTTTTGCTTATTAAATTAAATAAAAATTCGAAAAAATTGGTTACTGAAATACAAATATGCCCTTGTACTAGGTACATGAGGTACAAGGTGTTGAACTTTTGTAATATTAACATTTGGCCTAAACATAATTACATATATCAAATAAACCAACAATTAATCCAAAATTTCATTTCAAAATATCTTCTGCAAATAACAACTCGAAGGTCTTCTGCAAAATTTCATTTTCAGAATCGATAATTTAAAGAACAACTCGAAGATAAATAATTTGAAGAACAACCCAAAGGTAAATAATTTTGTTTCCAGTTTGGATAATTGAAGAACAACATTATGTGAAAGATGTTTTCAATTTCTTGTTCTTCATTCAGTTTACCGTCCAATCATGTGGTAATTTACATCCGTCATTTTGCTTTGTATCCGTGAGTTATAAGACATAGATACGATGAATATTGTAATGCGAAGTTGTCTATGTTAATCTTGATAATTCATTGATATTGTTTTTTAATCATAAAGAAGCACATTAGATGTTTGACGAAATGTCTGAACAGACCCTGAAGCTGTAAAACGGATGAGCAGCAAAATACAGGTTGCCAAAAATTACAACTGAACAAGTTGTTTGTTGTTGTTGTAGTCATAAACAATGTTTATAACATCAATTTAACATTTTAGAATATGATCATGAGCTTTAGTCATAAACAAGCACGAACTATTCTTTACAATGCAACTTGATATACATGTGCGATTTATCATGTTCCTTCTTGATAAACAAATTGCCCTATCTGTTGTTTAATTTATAGTCATAATAGACTTCATGAACATATATGTTAAATATTGTTGTTTCATTATGGCAATGCAACACAAATAAAACTGTAAGAACATGAAGTGTACCAAAAAACTTTCAAAAAAAAAAAAATGTTGATTAATCAGAACATATTAAACATCCTTACGAAAATTTTAATCAACAAAAGAACAATAAATTGTTCATTCATTAATGAAAAATGTAATTGTTCAGACATCAACTTGGAAGACCATTATTTAGTTCTTATCTGTATTTGACGGTTGGTTTTTATGGTTTTTCTTGTATGCAAATACAGGTGCTGGGTCATGGCACAGTATTATAATTGTTTTATCAAGTTCACTTGTGATTATTCAGAACCTTCAATGGTATGTGTTATTGTGCAAAATGAGTTGTTTTTTTTTATGTTTGTTCTTTACAAGCTGTTAAGAAGAGTTATTTTCGTAAGTATGAGGTCTTTCAATGTTTGTTATCGCAACAGGTGTTGAGTGAAATTTCGGAAGATGAATACCGTGATATTATACCTTTAAGGTGCACTCTGACTACCAAGAAGGTTGTGTTTATGAAGTAGTTATGAAGTACTTGGATAACAGACTCCAATTTGTGGATGGTTGGGAGGATTTCATTCACAAAGAAAGAGTTAGGAATGAAGATTTTGTTCACTTTGAACGCATCAATTTATCAAGCTTTAACGTATCTATATGGAAGAGAGCTAGTGTGGAAAGAGCGCCGCAATATCGGTTTACGCTTCACCTAAATAAAACTCATATTGAATGTGCTCGCCTGGTAATTGCATATTTTAATTTGTCTATTTTCATCATGGAATTGTTGTGGTAAATGGTCCTTAAAAAACAAAAGAAGTAATGTTCTTGCATTTTTATAGTTCATTCCCATGGCGTTCTGGAATATGCACATCAAAGATCAAAGGTGCTCTAAAAAGAAAGCGTATCTTTTTACTGACCAGTGTTTTTACCGTTTGGATGTAACTGAAAGGCATGGTAAAAAGTTAATGAAACATGAAGATGCTCGTCAATTCATCGAACGTAATGGATTGATGGAAGGTTGTTCGGTTTCATTGTGCTGCTAGGAGGAGATCATCTGGTTTTTAGGATTATTCTGTAGTTGATGTGGCAGGTTCAAAATATTTTTGTCTATGTAAAGTAATGAATTATGCTGCAATTTGATTTGGTGTGTTTTGAATTGGAATCTGTGTGTATTATATGCCATGGCAACTTTTGCTATTTGTATTGTATGAATTTGAACTGTCAAACTTTCTGCGATTAGTGAAGTTAAATTAATTTACCCATAATTTGTAAACAAAATGACAAATGAAACTTGTAGTATTAATTTATCTCAAGTGCACTATAACACGATGAATATATTTATTTGTAAAATGAACATGTCAATTTATAAGATGAACATGTTATGTTATAAGATGAATATGTTTTATTATCACCTGAATATGTTAAATTATAAGATGGACATGTTTTTTCTCAGATGAGCATCTTTATTAACACGATGAATATGTTTGATTTTGTACAAGATGAATAAGTTGATTTTGTACGAAATATGTAACGCCCCACTTTTATTTGTCGAAAATCATAATAAATTTTCCAAATTTATTTCAAAACACCTGAGGCGCTACTCATTTTCAAAAGGAACTTCAATACTTAACCAATTTCTCAATACTCAATCAATCATCAAACTCAATGTTTCCAACTCCCAAAACGGGTTTTCCAAAAATTCATCAATCTCCCAAACTGGGTTCCAACAATATTCATAGTATCCAAGGAGCATCTCCTTTAACACTAATTCAACAATATCCCGAAAATCATAAACGCATAAATAATCTATGTTCATAATCACAAAACCAGTAACGATGCAGAAGCAAAACAAAATATTAATCCGGCCTCATAGGTTGACCACCACTCGCTCTACTACGCCGTCGTACCTGCCTCGCTTAACCTGAAACGTTAATTTCAGGTGGGGATGAACATAGTTGGAAAAAGTAGTGCTCACCACTATGCAGTAAACATTTATCAACGTAAATAAAACAGTAATCATAAATAAGTAAGGTATGTCGCATGTAATATCCCATTCAATAATTAATAAAAGTAATTATTCTAAGTATGAGCTAATTATTTTTATTAATGCTCGTTCCTAGTTGCGAGCCAGTTATTAAGTTATTCAGTTAAAAATTCGACTTTAAGTCGAAAGTATTCTCGGTTCAATATTATTCAGTAATCGAGCCAGTTCATTAATTAATTAATTTCGGTCTGTTTATTTTTATAAATGGATTTATAAGACGGGATTAATTAATATAAGATGACGAATAATCGAAATTGAGTATATTTTGATTAATCGTTTAAGATAAGTAGTGAACTGAACCAAGTATGTTCGGTCATGAGTTGAACTTAATTAAGAAAAGCCGAGCCTTAGTACTAAATACTTAGAATTTTCTAAGTGTTTAAGTCATCAAGATAAGATCATAATATCGAGCCTTAGCATAAGTTGATACAAGCTAAGTCTCGAAGTGCGGTTAAGTATATATATATTTCTTCTTTTTACGATGCGATAGAGGTACTATTAAAACTCAAACGAACCATGTTCGAATATTACAAACCAACCGGAAAAGAGAAATGGGAGGACTCGCACAAGGCGGCCTAGAACCTCAACAAGAAAATGTACTGACTGAAAAAAAAACCTCCACTGCCCAAGCCTAGAGGTGGCAAATGCCAAATCAAAACCAAACCACACAGAGTCTACATGACCAACAAAACAGGAATAAGAAAAGATTAAAACTAAGAAAAATGGAGTGTTAGGTGGTAAATGATCCATGCTGTTTTGCAGTTGAGTAGTCCAACCAATTTGCCTGAGCTGCTTTGAGGATCAGATGCACCGGGAGATGCTTTCCTTCAAATATACTGAGGTTGCGTATCTTCCAGAGCCACCAAAGGATATATGTTGTTAATTTTATCCTAGCCTCTGATGACTCAGTTTTGTTGACAGCACAGATGAATTGCCACCAGCATTTGAAGGAGGAATCCATGAAGTTCTGGGAGTGCCAAGTGACTGCAGAAACATGCCACACACAAGCAGCTTTGGGGCAATGAAATAATATGTGGTTAATAGTCTCAGGTGCAGCCCCACAGAAGTTACAAATCACATCTATGTCCAGTCCTCTCCTTTTCAGATTGGTCTTCACAGGAAGAGAGTCTGTTAAGCATTTCCAGATAAATATTTTCACTTTGTTTTTCCAGAGTCTTTGTATTGCTGAAGTAGCTGATTGTCCTCCTTGAGTGCTGCTACTGGGGATGTCCATTCGCTGCAGTTTTTGCTTGCACAGAACAGCATAAGTGCTAGACACTGAAAATGAGCCCTCTTTGTGAAATTTCCAGTAATGCTGATCAGGTGTGTTAGGGTTGAGGGTGTTGATGTTGAGAATAGCTTGACTATCTTCTTCACTGAAGACCTGTTTCACCAGCCAAGTGTTCCAACCCCAGCCTGTGTCATTAATCAATTCCTTCACCCATATCAGATGACCTCTAGCAATGTCAATAAGTTGTGGTGTTGGGTATGACATTTCTGATTTTGGTTGCAAAGCCTTTGGCAAATGTAGGGAGAACAGAAAGCCAATTGGACCACATCCATGAGCAGTTTTGAGTTTTCACAGCATTAAATATGGAGC